GGAGCTATTCTTTCATGAATGCTGCAGTGCTGTACCAATTACTGCCTGAGCCTTGGGCTCACTGAGGGAGGGGGTTAATCTGCTCCCGCCCCCACAGGACATCTGGCCACTCTTTCAAAAATGCTCCTTCCTGGGATCACTGTGGTGGTGGTGGCCTTGGGAAGTTTGGGTGCTCTGCCCTGGATTCACAGCCAGTGACTCGCTTTAGAGGAGGTGGAAAAAGAAGGGTCGCTGACTCCGGAGACAAATATTGACCAAGAGAAATCTTTCCTCTGAAAGTACAGAAAACATTGTATTCTTTGAAACAGGTCCAGTATGTCTGATTGTTTCTTTGTGAAAAAGTTCAGTATGAGTTATCATCAAAGCCACAAGGAGGTTAAGGGAATTATCCCAGCTCCTTTTCAACCCAAAACCAGAGCTGGCCCAGCTGTACCCTTGTCAGAAACATGAGTTTTAGCTGGGATACTGAGAAATACCAGTGGGGAGGGGCAGCTTATTTTATTCTTCCTTTGCCCAGGGACATCATTTCGAAAAGCCCAAAGTTTTGCAGTGTTCCACACCACTGGGACAGAAATCAAGAGTTTGGGTTTATAGAATTTCCTATCAGAACTATTTTGGCTTCATCTTTTAAAAACAGTTTTAATACATTTCCTGGGATTCACTGAAGCCAAATAAATTGGCTCCAGGGCTCAGGTAGAGCTTGAAGCAAAATTTCCTGGGTTTAAATTCTGCAATTACTATTTTTATTTTTTTTTTAACTGGAAAAACATATTTTTATATTTTACCAATCTATAAAAAGCTTTCCTATTGCTAAATTTTACCATCACCTTTTGTGCATGTTTTTATATTGCCTATTTTTTATTTATGTTTTTAAATAGCCTATTAGTTCATGGGCCAATTTAGATTTTTCATTACTTTCATACAAAATGGAGAGGGATGCACAACATTACAAACAGAAAGCAAGACCATGGCTTTTCATCTGGGTTTAGATTCATTTTCATGCGACAAATTCAGTCTCACAAAGTTTCAGCCACATAACAGAAGAAAAGAAGTGCAGAGACTCAGGTCTTTGTTTCACATTAAAAAAAACAAAAAAACCCAAAGGCAGGCAAAACTGAGTTAGGGAGCTGCAATCCCATCCCAGGGTTATGGCTACTGTTTTAATTCCCTTGGGCTGTCCCAGCCATGACCCTGAGCACAGAAGCCAATAATCCCAGCAGCGGCTTCTTGAGGTGTAAGAATGTAAATATTATGCAAAGACAGGAAAACCTGCAAAGTACATTCATTGCTTGACTGGTGCTTTTAGTCAAAACAAGAAAAAAACCCTAACCAGCTATGGAATGATTTCCCTTGGTGTTTTCATTAGAACTTGTAACCCGCTCTTCTCCCACTGGTATTTGGAGAAGGAAGAATAATAGTACCAAGAGGATGCACACTCTATTCCTCCTAGGCTGCTGACATGGAAAAATGTCTGTTTTCATCTCCTTTGAATATAAAAGCATCTCAAAGGTGGCAGACTTCACCAGTTCTTTAGGGGGAGAGAACAAGTGGAACAAAAAAGTCAACACAAGATCAGTTTACCCTTCTTTTTAATGGAAATAAGGCTGGTGAGATCATTCATAAGCACATATGGGGTAATTTCCTCTGCAAAAAAAATGTCAGCAAATTTAAATCGAATTTAACAAAGGGTGAGCATCTTATCTCAGAAGCACAATTTCTACAAATTTCAAGAAAACAGGCAGCTGAAGAAAAAGAAATGCCCTATCAATTGCCAGGAAGTGCTATAACACAAATGTCACCTCTGTTATGCACCAGGTGATCAAATGGTAGGACAACGTTATTAAGGAGAGAACAAGGGAAAGGTTTACTCCTGAATTTTGGGGTTTGCTACGCTGGCCACATGCTGGGGACTTACATCCAGCTTAGCTAAGCAGTTTGTGGTTTCCCTGGTGGGATTTGGGGTTAATAATCTGCCCTAACTTTAAAATTAGAGAATCGGAGGAGCAGCTCATAACTCGCCTGGTCCCAGCAGCACCAAATGTCGCTCTACAGCATCAGAGATCAAGAGGTTCCCGGGAAAGGTGCTGAGGACAAGGCCATTAAAGGGTCCGGAGTGCTCATGTGCCCCCGAGAGCGCCCAGAACACTTCTTCAGGGTGGTCTGTGCAAGCGGCTTATAGCCTAAGGGAGAGGGATTTCTCACAAGGACGTGTAGTGATAGACAAGGGGAATGGCCTTAGGATGAAGGAAGATGGGTTTAGGTGAAATATCAGAAAGAAATCCTTCCCTGTGAGGGTGCAGAGGTCCTGGCACAGTATGCCCAGAGAAGCTGTGGCTGCCCCTGGATCCCTGGAAGTGTCCAAGGCCGGGTTGAACAGGGTTTGGAGCACCCTGGGACAGTGGGAGGTGTTCCCGCCTGTGGCAGGGGGTGCAATGGGATGAGCTTTAAGGTCCCTTCCCCAATTTAGTGATTCTGATGGTCTTGCCGAGGTCAGTCAGCCTGAGGAGCTGTTGCAAACTCAGGCTGAAAGATGAGTGCTCATAATTTACACTGTATAAAGCAAGAATGAATGCTTAAAAAAATTCTAACGCATGATTACCTTTAGAAAATGAATATAGAGAGATGCTTCCTTTTATTTTCTTCTGAAGAAATGTTATTTCTCACAGCATGGTAGAAACCTTATTCTGCTCAGACTGTTCAAAGACACTTGGTGGTATCTACAGGTGCACCTCAAGGAATCTCGACTACAAGAGAGATCGGTTTATTTATTATTATTTATTATTATTTATTATATTTTATTATATATTTTATGATATATTATTATAAATAAATATATTATTTATTATATTTATGGGTCAGCCTGGCAGCTCCACTTCACTCGCCAGGCATCGCACTCAGGCTACTCCTGTTATATCTCTGGCAAGTCTAGAGGTAGTTTTTTTCCGCTGCTCTGTCCCAGAGTGTTACTGGGACAGAGCTCTTTCTGTACTGCTGCTCTTGTTATCATAGTGCTCAACTGTGAGGAAAGTCACCTGTGTAAGGCAAATCCTAGGAAAAAAAAAAAAAAAAAAGCCAAGCAAAACAACCAGGCCTGCCTTTTGTATGAGAAATTGCATTCCAGCCAAGAAAATATCATAAAAAAATAAAAGGTCCAGGGCGCAGGAGGATTCCTTCTGATTTGATTGGAAGAGCAGAGAAACCAAGTTCCAAATAAGCCTGGCTGGAGCCTGTTAGGAGTCAGCATTATCAGCAGGAAGTGTGGCCAGAGGGGCTCAGGCAGAACTCAGGGTGGCTCTGACCAGTACTGGCCACATCTGCTCTGTCCTTGCTAAGGTGGGCAAAGGCAAATCTGACAAGTGAGTCTGTGCTTGAGACTCTCACTCAGCCGTCTTAAAATCTGCCTATAAAATGAAAGCATGCTTGGGTTTAGTTGATTTATAGCACTTAAAAGTGGTCTTAAAGTATTCTTCAATAACTACATCCGGAATTAAGGCTCCATGCCAGAGTTCTTTTATACAAGCATCATTCTAATAGACAGTGGTTGTTCATCTGGACTAGTTTTAATGTCTCTTCTTTTTTAATATCTTCTGTTTTGTTTTTTTTCTAAGTTCCCATTCATTTTTCTGTATTGCTGTGAATGTTCACCCTCATACTCTGGACAGTGATTTTGGGGTTTTTTTTCTTCATTTCACAGCTATGATACTTTGCTTAGTAAAATTCTCTGAAGCGCTTACCTGGCTGCAGCCTATAGCACTTTCTTGGAGAGTAATGCTGCTTCTCGCAGCCAGCGCTGCAGTGTTCTCGGTGTCTGTGCAATTTTTCACTGTACCCTGTAACCTCAGAATCCATGGCTGTCTCTCAGGGTTCTGGAGGAGTGCTGTGTTTGGATTTTTGTGGGAAGTGCATGATCTAAACTGTGGCATCTCGGCTATATTCTAGGAAGCTCGGAGAAGCAAGCTGCTCCTCACGAGGAACCGCTTATTCTTGAAAGTTGAGCTTCAAGGTGCTGCAAGAGGTGAGATTTAATGTTATATCATTCTTTGTTTAAGTTGCTTCTGTGAAACCTTAATATGCTTCAATAGTTTTTGCAGAACAGCTTATTTCACCCAGAGCAATTCAGTGCATTGTAACATGTCCTGGACTGCTTCATGTCACTGGTGTCTTGTGTTATGCAAGATTTTCAGTAACTTTTCCTTCAGTTTTCATGGTAATTGCCAATTTCTGTTTATCAAGCACAGCATTAGGTTCCTATTTATGTCTCAGTAATTTGATATATTGTTTCTAGCTAGTTCTGATTCACTTCTCCAGATCTTCAGTTCACTTTTAGTCATGTTTCTTCTGCCTTTTGTGCAAATGGACTTAATGCTTTTGCTGTAACTTTGTCTTGAAATACTACATCATAAATCAGGTTGATGTTTTGCTTTCCTAAAATCTTGTGACTGCAGATAGGGAGAATTTGGAGCAAATAGGGTAAGGAAGTTGACTATGGAAGATGAAGGTTGCCCAGCAAAAGCTGAGTGTGTGGCTTTGATGCTTACCAAAGCTGGAAAAAGTTACCGTGTGGGCACAGTGAATGTTAGAGTTGGGTCAGCTTTCAAAGGATGAATGTAGCAGGGAAAGAATCATATGAAAAGAATTGGTGATGTGAGATCAGATTTGAGCCCTTTCTGACATCCACACATGCTCTTTGTGTTGTCAAATTCTGTGTGTAACCAAGTGCCTTTCCCTGGTTCTTTTGCAGGTAGATAAGATACTGAATGCTCTGGAGACAAGACTGACCACGATTGAGTCCCGTGGGGCTACTCTGCACAGGCAGGTCTGAGAGGAAATACATCTTGAAGTGCGGGAGAAAGGCAAATGTGAAACTTGGCCCCGTTATCCTCTGGGATCTGTGGGAACATTTCAAAGGCTGTGAGAGAGCTGAAAGCCGTGGGTGGCCTGTCCTGTGGGGGAGCAGTGCTGACTGAGGCTGTGTCCCAGCCAAGGAGATCCTCTTCTGTCCCTGAAGATGATACACCAGGGGTTTTCTTCTTAATAAAGTCTTCTGACCAGTCCTGTAGACTTGTGGTTTAATAGAAAGGTTTATTTAAATTTTTGTCTCTGAAACAAAAGCATTTATCTCCTGCTTTCCCTGCTATTCACTATCTACTGAACTGGGTATGCATTTTCCTAAGCAAATCAAAAACCTCCCTGTGATTCTGTAATTTCCAAAAGAACAGCATGAAGTCACTTTTCTTTTTCTTGTCTCCATAGCTTTAGCTTGATTTGTGTTCAAAGACTGGAATGACTCAATAACCGTATCTGGTGAATTGTTAGTTTGGTGGGGGTTTGTTGCAAGTTCAGGGCTAAAATATGTAAGAAAAGGCTTTTTTTGCACCGGTGTTGAAGGTCAGTTGTTTTACAGCTCCAAAGGGAGGAAACTAAACCAGGCTGATGGTGACACTCCTTTAAGCAAGGCTTGCTATATATTTGAGAAATTAATTCAGCAGTTTTGTTGTGTTAATGCTGGTATTTCAGTTGTGTTTGGTTTTCTGGGCATTTGACTAATTGTCAGTGTTTCTCATACAGTATGAGTGTTCCACCTAGTGTTTTTCAATAAAAGCAAGCAGTTGTGGTATAAAGCAAGAATAATCTCCAAAAGTGGTTTGGGCTTTGGTTTTGGTTTGTTTTTTTTTTTTCTCCTTTGTTACCCAACACTACTTGGCTTTACTACCGTGCTTTAAAAAAGCTTTAAAAAGTTTTCTCCAAAAACTCAGAATTAATTTCCCCATTCTACCCCATTGGTAGGCGCTGCTTCTCTTCGAAAAGCTTCTGCCCTCCACCTTCACTGCCCTGTTTTGAAGTAGTGCTCCACTTCAGCCTGTTGTGATGGGTCTTACATCCTTTTCTGTACAGGTAACTGAAACAGTTGTTATTGACAGACCTGCCAGAGGAGCTTCCATTACTGCAGTGTCACTTGTGAGGCAGTTTCTGCTCTAATAAGTTTTTGAATGCTGCTTAAAAGCAATAAACCTCATTCTGGATGTCTGAAGGTGAGAGAAGAGATGGTTGCATCCTGGGAGCCTAATTTTGGAATGTTTTATGGAATTGGCTGAGTAGCTTTTACTTCTGGGATTTCTGTAGTCTGTCCATGGGAGGTCCAGCCTGTGCTTCAACTTGGAGCCCTCAGCCCGCAGGGAAATGAACCTTTGGGGAAGTTCTTACAGCTCTGCTTCATAAAGCATTAGCTTTATGAATTATGTTGTTTTTCTGGAAGTAGGCTGTCCGTCCTGACCCATTTTCTTCTCTCTCCCTGAAGACTGTACCTGCTGAAAGGCTGAGGTGAGACCAAGGTCTACAGCTGTGTCTTCCTGAGGCTAAAGCCATGTTTGCTGTCAATGATGAAATAGTGGAAGATGCTAAAGACTGAAAACTTCGGGATTTTTGCCTTGAATCCCCAGATTCTCTCTGCAGCTGTGCCCTGTATATCTCTTAAAAGAGTTTCTGGGTTTAGAAAGGTTTTTACATTCTGTAATATTTTTCTATAACTCAATTAAAAAGAATCCTACTATATCAATGTGGTGTTAATGACTTTGTTGGAGTTAATTAAAGCAAATCATTGATAAGGGGTTTGAGCATCCCTTGGTTGAAGCTGGCAGCTCTTATTTAATTTCTCCTCATTCCTTTAATTTCTTTCAATTGTTTCTTCAGCAATCACTGCAATTGGGATAGCCAGTAAGGACAACAGCATTTCTGCCCAGCTCTATTGGCAAATCCAAGCCCAGTTCCTTGGAGAGATTGAGGGGATGCGGAGCTGAGCCTTAGGCTGGGTTTTCACACTGGGAGTTTGGTGAAGAAGAGATCCCACCAAAAGTGGTTGAGGCCAGTTCTGCTGGCTTTGGGTGCTCGTAACCCCCCCAAAAAATAATCATGCTTAAAGGGGACTTGAAGCAGCAGTGGGATGTGCCAGGGGGCCTGTGCTGGGACTCCCAAAGCCTGGTCGGGGATGCTGGGAAGTGTCAGCTCCAGAGGAACAACACAGAGGGGCTGGATTTGCTGGGACCCTTCAAATTCCATCCATCTCTGCTAGACCTTTGGGACACTACTGAAAGGCTCCACTGCCTGATGCAGAGAGTTTTCCCTTTCTTTTCTGTCGTGCTTAGCACCTGGCAGGTCATTATAACCCTGCAGGTTGAAAACCTCATCGGAGCAGCTGCAGTCACAGACGATCACACAGAAGCCAGTCTGGGAGAGAAAATGAGCTGTTCCATAGATTTATTTTTCCCAATGCGTTTTGAATTTGTACCAGAATCTCTCCTCTCCCCTCAGATCCCGTATCCTTGAGTTCTGAGTTTTCTCATAAAGAATTTTCTGCCTACGCTGGAACAGTGATGAGATCAAATGTAAAGAAAAAATCGAAATGTAAAAGATGATGGACGTTAGTACACACGGATACAGAGTTTCTGCTTTTGAGCTCCGCAGATGTTTCTTTCTTTCCTCTTTCCCTTCTTGTGTGAGCTGCCTTTGAGTCAGTTATGTTATGTTGAGCTCTTGTGGGCACAGAGCGGTACTGCCGCTGTGCCCCGACCGGGGCCCTGCCCCGCTCCGCTGGGTGACGGGGGGGAGGCGGCAGCGGGAGCTACGGCAGTTCCGCGGCTGCCGAGCCTGGGGAGGGAGTGAGCGGGGCGGTGTCTGTAAATAGCAGGGAGGGGTGAAATAGCGTTAAGTGTGTAAAGTGACACGGCTGGGAGCAGGGACACTGCGCTAAAAGGAGCGGCGGCCGTGCAGGCCGGCGGCTAAGAATAACAGCAGTGGCGGGCGGCAGATCAGTTTCAGCTTCACGGACGGACTGCGGGGAGAAGGACGGTGAGCAGCGGACCCGCAGCAGGCGAGGGGCGGGCACTTAGGTATTTTGCTAAGGTGTTTACCTCGGCCAGCACCTAATCGGGCAGTCCAAGTCCTCGCAGAAGAGGAACCGCTGCGAGGGAAGAGGCGCTCAGAGCCCGCAGCGAGCTGTGCACGCCTTCCCCACCGCCGCTCCCTGCTCCGCGCTGCCATCGCAGCTTTGCGAGCTGGCACCACACCCGGGCGAGTTGGCGGCTACGCCCCTCCCCGCCCCCTGCCCCGAGTGCCGCTGGGGCGCTCCGATAGAGGCTCTGCGGGGGCCTTTTAGGCGGGACCAGGGCAATAGAGAGGGCCGGAGAAGGGGACGGGAGTCTGGCGAGAGGGGCACAGGGCGACCGCGGACCCTGCGAGCACCCCTGGCTCCGCCTAACTGAGCACCTCGCGCTCCCATGGGCCGCAGCCTCAAAGCTTCCGCCAATCCCGGTGGATTGGTTCTAGGTCAGGGTTCTAGGTCAGGGTTCTAGATTATGGTTCTAGATCAGGGTTCTAGGTCAGGGTTCTAGGTTATGGTTCTAGGTCAGGGTTCTAGATTATGGTTCTAGGTCAGGGTTCTAGGTTAAGGTTCTAGTTCAGGGTTCTAGGTCATGGTTCTAGGTCAGGGTTCTAGGTCATGGTTCTAGGTCATGGTTCTAGATTACGGTTCTAGGTCAGGGTTCTAGATCAGGGTTCTAGGTTACGGTTCTAGGTTATAGTTCTAGGTCAGGGTTCTAGGTCAGGGTTCTAGATCATGGTTCTAGATCATGGTTCTAGGTTATGGTTCTAGGTTACGGTTCTAGGTCATGGTTCTAGATTATGGTTCTAGGTCAGGGTTCTAGGTCAGGGTTCTAGGTGGCCAATCACAGCCGCCCTTTTTCATCCAGGCGCGGTCTCTCCAAGCTCAGCCCGCTCAGTCGTGGCCCGTTCCCGCTCCCCCGTTTTGCTGGGGTGCCGCTCCGGCCGCTGTCGCTTTGGGAGCCGGCGGAGCCGAGCTGCCGCAGCCCC